AGTTGGCTGTTCCCGAATTAGCCGCTTTTATCGACCACATGGGCTGGGCTGGAGGCGAGCGGAGGCCTGCTGCAGGTTTTCCCTCTCCCTGGTTCTAAAGCGAAAGCAGGCCTCCTTGACACTTAATCAGATTCAAATGTGGTTCTGGCATTGCTTTAAAGAGACTGGCAGTGAATAGCCGGGTTTGATGCCCTTTATTAAAACCCTCTGGTAGGCTTGGTCTCGGAAAGCCAAAGTGAGGGCTGGCAAACGCACAAGGGTTTTCTGCAGTTAATGTATTTTAATCTTCTCCCTCCCTCTTGTGCTCTTTCCTCGTTAATTGTAACCCTTTCAGCTGCCTGCTCCGAGGGGATGGCGGGCTCCGGGAAGGCTTCCGTTCAAATAGGTTCCTGGGATGATGAGGGCTCTGGTGATGCAGGCAACGTGAGCAGCCTCCCAGGGAAGGGAGGTAGAGCTGTGACTGAGGCACGCGTACTGCGAGTCGGATTCTTGGGTCCCACGCCGGGCAAGTCTGTTAACCTCCCTGGGCCTTGGTTTTCTCGCACGGGAGGCAGAGAGGAGAGGGGATAAATGCACGTACATTTTGCCTCCCTGCTGCCCTATGTAGGCATTGTGGGCCAGGACTTCCAAAGGCGGCTGGTGAGTTTGGGTGCTTTGATTCCTGGGGGCCCGCCATGAGACCCCTTAAATGGGCCTAATTTTTGGAAGACTCAGCTGCTCAGGGCTTTCTTACAGCGAGGGCCCTAACAGTGGCCTCCGGTTGTGCCCCCAGGATCACCCGAAATAGCTATCCCGCGTCTTCACAGTAAGCCCGTTCTTTCTTCCACAGGGCTCTCTATTCCGACATCCCTATCAACCGCATTCCACGAAGCGTAAGAGACGTTTCAGAATAGCAGGTTATTTTGAAATTGGGTGCTGTGTAGCGAGCGCCCAGAGAAGCCATTTCGAAGTACACTTGAGATAAGCTACACAATTGGCACAGCTCAAATTGCGTCGCTTATTTCGAGCTACGGTGCAGTGTAGACGTAGCCTGACAGACCCCGTGTATCTTAGCTCCCACCTTCATTTCCAAAGGAGATGACACTAAAGCATGGGTTCCCAAATGGGGGGGGGGGGGGGGCCCCCCCCCCCGGGGGTATGTGAAGAAATTCCACAGGGGATATGAGGCGACTCAGCCCCTCCCACCCCATCAAGGTTTGCTGCCCTGGTTAGTTCCTTTTTTTTTTCTTCTCAACAAGTTTTGCTGCTATTTTTTTGGCGGGGGGGGGCCGTGAGGGTGTTTCAAAAATCAAATAGGGGGGCGTGATGCCGAAACGTTTGGGAACCACTGAGCGCCAGGACTGGTGGCCGTAAAAAAAACTTTCTGGGACCACGGGAAACTTGGCCACACCCATGAAAAGTGGACATCCGGCTAACTCCGATCATGCCGGACCATGGATGTTTCTGGACCAGAGAGTTCTGGATTAGAGAGGTTCAACCTGTACAGTCTTTCCTCCATAACGTCACACCCCTTTACTGGGCCCCAGAAGGCCTTTCTCAAATCCCCGTTTCTGACCCGTGGTCTCCTGAGACTGTTCTTGTCTTTCACTCTTTTGGCCTGAGACGTAATTCTTTGTCCTCTTTGCTGAATTGCGGGGAGGAGGGAGAGAATGTTCGTGGCTCAAGGGGCCCTGCTGTCAAATGCGTTTGCCAAGTGCCATGCAGACCTGCGCACATAGATCCCAAATAGCAAGGAATATTTGATTCCTCTGTTTCTGACCCCTTAGAATTGGCGATGCTCTTGGTGTTAGGCCTTTCCCGGTTGACCCGAGGAGAGACGAGTGTGTTTTCTCAGCAGCAAATGAGCATTTTGGCTAGGCAGGGTAATATTACATCCTGCCTGTGTCTGTGGACATGCAGGGCTCGCTGCAGGAGCCGCAGGCCAGAAATTCCATTGATGCTTGGCTCCCCGGCTCCGAGAGGCATGTCATTCATTGAACAAACCGACAGAGGTTTAAAGTTCACGGAGAAGCAGAAAAAGCTGCTCAGCATAATGCGCGAGCCACCTTTTCTTGGTGGAGGGTCAGTTCCCAGCATGCTTTGGGCCGGTGCCTTTTGCCCCAGCCCATCTGAAAAGCGTGTGTGCCCCGTGGTATCCAGAAGCAACCTAGCTGGTGGGGAGAATGAACGGGAACCTACGTGGTGTTAACAGTGGCCTTGGGTGCATGGAACAGGTGGCTGGTTCCGCTTGACGCCAGTGGGTGTGGGTGGTAAAAGCCATGGAAATAACATGTCACCAGGCATGCAGGGCTTACTTAAAAACAACGGGGCGTCCCGGAGCACCTTAGAGACGAATAAAAATATCTGTGGTATCCTGAGTTGTTTGTGGGCAATCCCACTTCCGGAGATGAACTTGAGCAGAGAAAAAAGGGAGGACTCTGAGAATTTATAACAGAAGAAGAAAGGAGAGGGGAAAAGGGAGCCTGTGAATTGTAGTGCCAGTGCTAATGAGGCTAATTGATGTCTTTGTTCAGGCCTAGGGAAACAGTGTCAGATTTGTATATGGAGGTCAATTCCGCTGGCTTGTGAAATGCCTTTGTAGAAGAATGGTTGCTTTTAACTCCATGATCGTCTGCCCAGGCAGGTGAAAATATTCCCCACCTGATTTCTGTGTGTTACTATTTCTAATACCCGCTTTGTGTGCATTGATCCTTTCTCGCAAAGACCGTCCAGTTTGGCCAGTAGCAGAGAGGCATCGCAGGCACTTGCTGGCATAAATTCTGTTAGTGGATGTGCAGGTGTCTGAGCCCTTGCTGTGATCAGGTCCAGTGAAGGTGTCGTTTGTGTAGCTGTGTGGACAGAGTTGCAGGTTCCTGAGTGAGTGTGTTTGAAGTACGATGCGACACTCCTTGTTGTTTTTAAAGTGACAGACTGACCCGGCGACCCCTCTGAGACTCGGGGAATAAGTGTTTGCAAGACAGGGCCCTGTGTCCTTAAGGAAAGTCAGAGGCGGTCCCTGGAAGAAGGGATGTAAAAAGAGTTGAAAAGCACCGACTGTGGAACCAATTGGGATTTCGTCGGTTACACGGTTAAACAGGCTCCGCGGGCTGCCAGCCCTGTGGGAGTTTAACCATTAACAGGACCCGATCCACACCCGTTTACTGGTTAACCGGTTAAACTCTTACATCGCGAGGCAGAAGACTGGACCCTGCACAGAACAGCTCTGTGGTTTTCCCTTAGACTCAGCTGTTAAATCAGCGATGGGCAGCCCAGGCGAGTGAGGGGGCCGCGGGAGGGGCCCTGCCTCATCCCAGGGGGCCGCAAGATTGTCGGAACCAAGCCGGCCTCCCGGGCTGGGGCAGCGTTGCTCACTGCGCGTGCGTCCCTAGAATTTGTGGGAGGTGCCGATGGAGCCTTAGCCGCGCTGTGATTGGCTGCAGAGGGAGGGCCTGGCTCTCACCGTTAGTGCGCCGAGCAATCAGCTTGCACCTCGCTGCTCGTGGCCTGGCTTTAGGCGCATGTCACTTCAATAACATGGGAAGGAAAAAATCACACGGAGAGAAACCAGCAGAATCCGGCAACCCTGCGTGTGGGCAGCAGCAAACAAAAGGTCCCGCCAGCCCCATGCAGAACCCTGATGGGCCGCAGGCAGGCCCCCAAGGTTAGGGCTGGTGGTGGGTCTGGGTGGTTTAAAGTGTGTCATTCCAAGTAGAGCCGCCCGGGTGGCATGTGCCCTGGGCCGGGCTTGGTCTGTAGCTTTCCAAGGGGGAAAGGCATGTTACAGCCTCGCCGGCAGGCAGGGCCTGTACCAACAGAGATGCTCTAATGCCGTGTCTGTGCCCTCCAGTCTGGATGCTTGAGGTTGAGCACTGAGAAGACAGGGCACAGTGACTGTGAGCAGGGGCAGAGAGCGGCCCCAGCCAGTGGAGCTGGCTGGTTCTTGGCTGGCGTGTCGTCCTGGAATGATGCAGGACGAGGCAGCATCCTGCCTCGAACTAGGGCTCACCAGATGAAATGAATAGGCAGCAGGTTTAAAACAAACCAAAGGAAGCTTCTCTTCACACAGTCAACCTGTGGAACTCCTTGCCAGAGGATGTTGTGAAGACCAGGACTTACACAGGGTTCAAGAAAGAGCTAGATAGATTCATGAAGGTTACCAGCAGTACTTACTAGCCAGGATGGGTAGGAATGTTGTCCCTAGCCTCTGGGTGTCAGGGGCTGGAAATGGGTAACAGTGGAGGAATCACTTGATTACCTGATTCTGTTCCCTCCCTCTGGGGCACCTGATACTGGCCACTGGGGCAGACAGGACACTGGGCTGGACGGACCTTTCGTCTGACCCAGTCTGGCCGTGCTTATCCTATCTACGAGCTGGGGCTGTAAAAAAAAGCGAACTGTGTAACCGCTAAGCATCCTAGTGGTTACACACTGCGGGCTGTATATGGCAGAGCCCGCAGCGAAGCCTCCCCAGTAGCTGGGGCACCTGATACTGGCCACTGGGGCAGACAGGACACTGGGCTGGACGGACCTTTCGTCTGACCCAGTCTGGCCGTGCTTATCCTATCTACGAGCTGGGGCTGTAAAAAAAAGCGAACTGTGTAACCGCTAAGCATCCTAGTGGTTACACACTGCGGGCTGTATATGGCAGAGCCCGCAGCGAAGCCTCCCCAGTAG